AAGAACCATTTGATAAATGCAGTTCACGTATCTGCAATTCATATATTTGAGTTTCTTCGTAAGACCTGTGATGAATCCTTTCAATCGATAAGGCTCTTTGGGCAGGAAAAAAAAAGTCAGAAGCATGTTTTTTTTTTTCCTGGTGGAATATTATCTTTTTTTGATTTATTAAAAACTGTTCAGTATTCAGTGTTAAAACTGTGACTTTTGGAGAATAAAAAATATATGGAAGGACAGTTGTAATCTTCTGTTTGTACTGGTGAACGATATATTCACATTCTCGGCTATATTTCACCTTCTGTTTTAAAAGGATTATCCATGGAGAATATTTGTAAATATTGATTTGATTCTCAATTTATATAATTGCAGATATACCGAGAAATGGAGGATACCAGCACTCATAAAGTGGTATACAGTTCAGTCACTATAAATGGTCCACTTCATGGTGTACCAGTGAATGAAAACTATCAACCTTTGGGAGTTATTGACCGAAAACGTCTTTCAGCAAGAAAGAACAGCACCACATACTGCTATGATTTTCCACTGGTATGTGCTATTTAATGCATTTAGTTGAAATATAGGCTTCTTTTCTGTGTGTGTTTTTGTGAGCATGTATGTGTTTTTGTGTGTGCGCGCCACTTCCTTTTAAACGATATTTCCTGAGGAGAAATGCTTCTTGCAGGCATTTGAAACAGCCTTGGAACAGTCATGGGCAATCCAACAGTCAGAATTTGAAAGAGCGAAAGATAAAGATCTTCTAAAAGTAACAGAGCTTAAATTTGCTGATAAAGAAGGTAGTTGGGGAACTCCTCTTGTTCCTGTGGAGCATCCTCCTGGACTCAATGATGTTGGCATGGTAGCCTGGCTCATGGAAATGTGTACCCCTGAGTTCCCATCTGGAAGGACAATATTGGTTGTTGCAAATGATGTGACCTTCAAGGCTGGTTCTTTTGGCCCAAGAGAGGATGCATTCTTTCGAGGAGTAACTGATCTTGCATGTGCAAAAAAATTACCTTTAATTTATTTAGCCGCAAATTCTGGTGCCCGTTTAGGTGTAGCTGAAGAAGTCAAAGCCTGTTTCAGAGTTGGTTGGTCTGAGGAATCTAACCCTGAGCATGGTTTTCAATATGTATATTTAACGCCTGAGGATTATGCTCGGATTGGATCATCAGTGATAGCACGTGAATTAAAGCTTGAAAGTGGAGAAACCAGATGGATTATAGATACCATTGTTGGCAAGGAGGATGGCCTGGGGGTTGAAAACTTGAGTGGCAGTGGGGCCATTGCCGGTGCCTATTCAAGGGCATACAAGGAAACTTTTACATTGACATATGTGACTGGTAGGACTGTTGGAATTGGTGCTTATCTTGCTAGGCTTGGGATGAGATGCATACAGAGGCTTGATCAGCCCATAATACTTACTGGTTTTTCGGCATTAAACAAACTTCTTGGTCGGGAGGTATATAGCTCTCACATGCAACTTGGTGGACCTAAAATCATGGCAACTAATGGAGTTGTTCATCTTACGGTATCGGATGACCTCGAAGGTGTTTCTTCTATTTTGAAGTGGCTCAGCTACATTCCTTCTTATATAGGTGGTGCGCTTCCCATTGTAAAGCCTCTTGATCCTCCGGAAAGACCAGTGGAGTATCTCCCAGAAAACTCGTGTGATCCTCGTGCTGCCATTTGTGGAACTCTGGATGGTAACGGAAGATGGCTGGGGGGCATTTTTGACAAGGACAGCTTTGTGGAGACACTAGATGGATGGGCAAGGACAGTTGTTACAGGAAGGGCAAAACTTGGAGGAATCCCTGTGGGAATTGTTGCTGTAGAAACACAGACAGTAATGCAAATAATACCTGCTGATCCAGGCCAGCTTGATTCTCACGAGAGGGTTGTTCCTCAAGCAGGGCAAGTGTGGTTTCCTGATTCTGCAACCAAGACAGCCCAAGCAATATTGGATTTCAACAGAGAAGAGCTCCCACTTTTCATTCTTGCAAACTGGAGAGGCTTTTCAGGTGGGCAGAGGGACCTTTTTGAAGGAATTCTTCAGGCTGGTTCAACCATTGTGGAGAACCTTAGAACATACAACCAGCCCATATTTGTATACATCCCAATGATGGGTGAACTCCGCGGTGGGGCATGGGTTGTTATTGACAGTCGAATCAATTCTGACCACATCGAAATGTATGCCGATCGAACAGCTAAAGGTAATGTCCTTGAACCAGAAGGAATGATTGAGATCAAATTTAGAACAAGAGAATTGTTGGAATGTATGGGTAGACTTGATCAACAGTTGATATCTCTGAAGGAAAAACTTCAGGATGCCAAGAGTGAAAGGGAATTTGGCACCATTGAATCCCTACAGCAACAGATTAAATCTCGTGAGAAACAGCTTTTGCCTGTGTATACCCAGATAGCTACCAAATTTGCTGAACTGCATGATACTTCCTTAAGAATGGCTGCAAAGGGTGTAATCAGAGAAGTTCTAGACTGGAGTAACTCACGTGCTGTCTTCTACAAGAGACTGCACAGGAGAATTGGTGAGCATTCACTGATCAACAGTGTGAGAGATGCTGCTGGTGACCATTTGTCACATACATCTGCTATGAACTTGCTCAAAAGCTGGTACTTGAAGTCTGATATTGCCAAAGGTAGAGATGATGCATGGTTGGATGATGAAGCCTTCTTCAGATGGAAGGATAATCCTGCAAATTACGAGGATAAATTAAAGGAATTGCGTGTCCAGAAAGTGCTGCTTCAACTGACAAATATTGGTGATTCAATTCAAGATTTGCAAGCTTTACCTCAAGGTCTTGCTGCCCTTCTAAGCAAGGTAAAAAACTCAAAAACTTTTCATTTCATTAACTGTTTAATGTTATTATTATTTGGTTACATCAACTGTTTAAGGTGTATATTATTATTTGCTTGTCATGTCTTGAAACCTTGAGATGATTATTTGAATTCTTGTGCAGTTGGAGCCATCAGGTCGCATGAAGTTGACTGATGAACTTCGAAAGGTACTTGGTTAGACGACAATAAAAGCTCATGTGATCTGCCCTTTGTACTAAAGGTTTTGTTGTTTGTGTCGTTGATGGATGGCCGTATAAATGTACCTATTTTATTTGTGCAATCCCTTGGCTGAGTTGTTATACCAAAGGGCAAGCAAGAAGCAACATACCCCTCAGCTATGGGATTCGTTGCTTCAAAGTGTAAATGACATCAGTATTGGATAGATATTTAGTTTATGCTGTTAAGGGTGAGGATCACAACCAGCATCATCACGTTCTGGTTGATTGATTTTCTTGTATCTGAATAAACGTGTAATAATTTGTAACATCTATTATTTTAGCAATACCAAAATTTTGGGCATTCCATATGTGTATGTACACGTTGCGCTTCCAATCTGGCGATGATTTAAACGACTAGTGAATATTTTTATCCAACTATATGGGGGCGTTTCGTTTGGAAGTTTTTTTTAGGATTCATGGGAAATTGAGGTCGGTAATTTTATTTACTCATGTGAGATTTTTATAAAAATTCGGTATTCTGATTTTCTCTTAATTTTTTTTTTGTGTAAATTTTTTTGAAAATACCATTCAAGAATACCACCCAGAGGGTGGTATTATAAGATTCTCATGGCAAGAAAAAATTTAACACGTCAAAAAAATTAACTTTTACATTTTCGAAAATATTTCGACTTACAAAATAATTTTTAGTAACATTTTCAAAAAACTCATTTTCTCATCATATTACTAAAAATCATAATTTATGACTAATTTTTTTTTCTTCTTCTACCCAACACCCCATAAATTATAAAGTTGTCATCAAGTTTTGTTTATTTTAACTACAGGTATTTGTCACTAATGTTGAACAATTAGTGAAAGCGCAGGGGGAAAAACAATTAAAAAGGTGGTTGTGAATTGTAATACGCAACATTTTGTGAAGAATTTTTTGAAGCTGAGTTCTTAGTATCACGGACGAGCCCAAATTTGAAAGATGGGGAAATTAGATGGAGAATATTTAATTACCATGTTTGGTACGAGTATTGTGAAAAAAATCTCAGCAAATAATTTCTCCGAATATTTTCTTTTTCAACTACACAAAGATAAATAATTATCCCGCTGATCCTTTGGTATTTTTTTTTTGCCTAAGGTCTTAGATTCTGAATATAATATGTTGAGTCAAATAATTATCCCATCAATATTTTATCATCAACCAAACATAACATCAGTAAAATAAAGCTAATTTTTTCGTCAAAATTTTGACCAACCAAACATTTTTTCGTAACTTATCCGGAGTAAAAAAACTCCTACCAAATTCTCAGCCATCTTTTTTTCTATGTAACAAAAAATATCTCTCGTACCATACCAAACGTCCCCTCAGTATTATGCTGATTTCCGAGCACCCAATCTCTTTCAACTGTCATCGGTGATGGTTTACTACGTAAATTTGTTTTCTGCGCAGTGTTGCAATTGCAAAAATTACGCCCGATGCAACATCGGAATAAAAAATGGTTACCTATGTAAGTAACGATCGTTAGTTTAGGGATTCACCTTGCCCTCCCAATATTTATCCCCACCACCAAAAAAAAAAAACTGCAGTACTAGCTTAAAACACAACGAATGATACAAACGAAATGCAACAATGCATTGTAAGATACCAAAATCATCATACAGCCCCACTCATTCTTGCATAATGTGCTTCGGGGGGGGAACGAGACGTCATTTATCATTATCTAAACTTTTAATTCATATTTTATATTGTAAATTCTGGGGAATTTTCCATGGTACCTGGAACTAAGTGTCATGCATTAGCTAGATACTGATTTTCAAAAGATGTTTTAAATTCTATTACAAAACAAACCTGCAGTCAATTAAATGCTTAATGGATACCATGAAAAAAATGGGTACTGCAGTAATAATGCCTTCAATTCTATTAAAAGGATTAAAAACTTTCTCAAGTGGATTAGCCTACTGCACATCACTTTATTTGCACCATATTTCACTTCGATTTGAACCATTCATTTCAAAATATAAAAAATTATAATAAATACTACTTATTATTCAGACATGACATGCTGAAGTAGATGCAAGAGTGAGATAAAAATGGTGATAAAGGTCACCAACTTCCTTTGGGAACTATTTGATCTCGCCATTGATCCCAACCAAAAAGCGGGTCAGGTGATAATAACAGTATGAGAAATATATAACAAAACTGATCACCACGGCTTTAAATGATTAAATCCATGGGAGAGAGATATACAGACCCAGATGGAATATAGCCTCGTATATTTTGATTGAAAAGATGTAGAGGAAAATATGCTGAAAATCATCATGCACATATAGGGAGCCTTCTACTTACCAATACAGAACTTGCCAAATATATTTGTTAAAACCTCCTCTGATATATCTTCTCCACTTATCTGTCCAAGGGACAATGCAGCATCCCTCAAATCAATTGTCCAAAAATCCAGAGGTAGATCCTCCTTTATTGATGATTGTAACCTTGTAAATGCTTCCTTGGTCCGAACAAGTTGTTCACATTGTCTCTGAATCATCATTATATCAGACAAACACAACCACGTCCTCCCAAAAATAAATATTTCTTTTTCTACTTTGTGTGTGTGCACGCGTGTACCTTTTCTTATCGTGAAAAATGTCATGCAGCAAAAGACCAACACTTGAGCTACGCTTGGTTGAAGTGAAAATGGAGTCATAGGAAATAGAGATGTATGTAGACGTAGTAGTGCTCAATTACATTGTTATTTTCCATCTACCCATTTTCACCTTAACAAAGCATAACCTTAACTGTCACCTTTAGTTCAATTTTACCAAAAATAGATATATGGTCCTAGCAGCCTATTGATTCCTTTCCAATCAAAAAGGTAGAAATTTTTGAAGCTAAGACTTTGTCAGAGATAGAAAGCCAATATAATAGCTTACCTGATTGACAGTCCATCTGCGACCTCCAGCAGAAATGCCATCAAGACCCACAATCTCTAATACTGCCCTCTCTAAGTCTTTTAATCCTTGACCGGTAACAGCACATGTAAACACATGTTTACTGAAAAGTTTGTGACTACATCCTTTGTTCCACTCAGTCTCAGCACAAGGTTCACAATCTATCTTGTTGACCACAAGGATTACTGGGGTGGAAGATCCAGTTGATCCCTGTTGTTACAGAAAGATGAAATAAAGATTGCAAACCAATAAGCATCTTTCATTTTCTGACAGCATGGAAGAAAATAATATCAGGTACCAAGCTTAATATTGAAAGAAAGTATAATGTGTAATTTAATATTTATAATGTGTTAGGGCCTTTATCCTATAGTATGTCATTTTTCCAGGGAGTTATTATAGGATATAAATAGCATTTCTGAAGACTTGGTTTTTAACTGAGCACAATGGCATTGTTTGATTCATGTCCCACCAAGTGGAAAAAGGCTTTTGTTCTTCTTGTGGTAGCTATATAGGATGCTAATATTTGTAAAGCGTCGAGGTGTGTGCCAATTTATCATCTGATATGATCTATTAAGAAAGATATTTTGAGGTAACCTATCTAGTTCTATGCTGCCAATTCAGCAACAATATCTTGATATTAACTTTTCTATCAAATGTCAAATTTTTCTCCATCAAATAAAGAGGTTATACTTCTATCAATATCAAAATAAAGTATCATGAATAAGAGAAGAAGAAAAGGGAAAAAGAGGATTATGTGGAAAAACCTTAGTAGATTGAATCCTTTCAAGAAGATTGGTGTCTTCAGAAGTCCACCCTTCAACAGCACTCACAGTCATGATGATTAAATCAGCACCCCTAGCAACTGCTTCAGATCGCTCTACGCCTATTCAGAGAATAGAAATATAATCTCAGTATACGTAGAGCAATGAGGTTGAAATAGCAAAACGCTGACATGCATGCAACATTATACATTTAATATTGCCAAGTCATATTGGGCAAAGTCTCTACCATATCCATCTGATTTTCACAGATTTTCTGGGTGTTCCATGCAAATCATACTTCAAACAAGTGATAATTATTTGAAAGATTGTATGTAGCTAGTAGTCACAATTCTTAATTTTAATTAAAAAAAGGCATTCAAACAAGTTGAAGAGATCATAAAAAGGCCAAGTCACAATTAAGTTATTTTACTTCAATTGCAGATGCAGATTCCATAACATCCCATTTGACGGGACACTGAAAAATCTATAGCATGCAGTACGTATAGGTGAAAGATGGTGCAGTAAATTTTTTTATACATGTCCTGATCTTCAAGGAGGAAAAAGAAAGCCTCACCAATCTTTTCCACAATGTCATCAGTGTCCCTAATGCCTGCAGTATCAAGAAGGGTTATAGGAATGCCATTGATGCTGATACTTGCTTCAATCACATCTCGGGTGGTTCCAGCAATTTCAGTAACTATTGCCCTCTCACTCTGCATGCTACAAGAAGACCACGCTCAATAAGTTACATAATCACAATGTTAAATATGCCGAGATGATAAAAAATAATGGACTCCCCGCCCTCAATGGAAATATATATTTATATATATACACACACACTAGTACTGCCCTTAAATAAATTATGGACTTGAGAAGCCAATTAATTATAAAGATAATGATGTGAATGGTTTCAATCTGCCAATACCAAGGTTTAATATATACACAAAAGATCAAAATTGAATAAACGAATAAAATATCAAATTAAATTATTCAATTAGTAACATGACTGTGACATACTTTGCTCCATGCATTAAGAAGGCTCGACTTGCCAACATTGGGACGGCCAACAATTGCTATCTGCAAGAATTTTGTATGGAGATTAATAATAGGAAAGCCAACAACAGACATTATGAAATCAACATAAAAATAGATCCATATATAATTGTTTTAGTTGAAAGAGGAAATATCTGTATCTATTACAGCATACTACGCGCTAAGGGCACTTTATTAAAAAAAGAGTAAACACCATTTTTGGTCCCTGGCAATATCTACGAAATCCTTTTTAGTCCCTGGCAATTAAAAAGGACCAAATTAGTCCCTAACAGTATGTAAAAAGGACCACGTTAGTGACGGAGGAGTTGACATAAGGACTAACGTGGCCCTTTTTTCATAATTTTAGGGACCAATTTGGTCCTTTTTTATTGTCAGGGACTAAAACGGATTTCGTAGATATTGCCGAGGACCAAAAATGGTGTTTACTCTTAAAAAAATAAGCACTTGCTGCAAAGCTGAAAGTTATCTTCCAGATCATACCTGTAATCCAGATTGCAAAAGCTTGTCATAATTTGCTGTCTCCAATGCATTATCAACATCCCGTGACATGCTATGAATTTTATCCATAATCAGATTCAAATCAAGAGGTGGCATCTCATCATCAAAATCTAAACGAGCTTCAATCTCAGTAAGCAAATCAATGCACTGTGTTCTCAACGATCTGACAAGAGAAGAGAAACCCCCCTGTCCAAGAAGATACAATAAAGGTCTTTCAGTATCAGTTATCCAGAATCATCAAACACCAAAAGATGCAACCAAATAACCAAGTCTTAAACATGCCTGGATTCCCGCCAGTGCCGCATCAGCAGCAGCAACAGATTTGGCTGTGATGAGTCTTCCAACATTCTCAGCTTGTGAAAGATCTAAACGACCATTCAGAAAAGCACGAAGAGTAAACTCACCTGAAAAAAAAATAAAAAAATGTAACACACAACTCTACTGACTCCATATTCATTAATAATGCATATAATTAATATAATTAGGTTTAGAGAGAGAGAGAGAGAGAGAGACCTGGTTGAGCAAGTGTTGCTCCAGCTTCCAAACAAGTTCTGAGGACGCGACGAAGACACACTTCACTGCCATGGCATTGAAGCTCAACCACGTCTTCGCGAGTGTAGGATCTCGGGGCTAACATCGGCACTGCCAAAACCTCATCGATCACATTTCCATCCGAATCGGAAACGACGCCGTACTCCACAACATGGCTGGTGGGCTGCCACGTGTTCTTGGCGGGTCGAAACACTCGACCCACTATAGATACCGCACTAGGACCCGAAAGCCGAACAATTCCGACCGCAGCTGGTGGACCCCCCAACGATGTTACAATGGCCGCAATTGTCGATGTCGTCGCATGAACTCCGCCCTCCACATACTCCCCCAACCGCTCATCTTTCTTCACCACCACCCTGTAATTACTTGAACACGTGATAAGAGCACGAGCATGGGGTTTCAGTTTCACCGTTTTCGAAGGTTTACACGAAATAACACAGTGAGTAGAAACCAAATCCACGGGTGGGCGCGTGAAGCAGTTGGAGTACAAATGTATGTGACGAAGCACAGCACGCAAAGCAGCCATTCCCACTCACTCTGGTTCCGGTTTCGTTTTCTGCGGCTAATTATTGCCTATCCATTTTGTTCTTCCTCCAACCTCACCACCTCTGGTCCACCAGGCCCATTTCCTCTGCGTCAAATCAGCAATTGGCTTTGGCCCATTACGCCCTTCATACCCAATAATATCACAAAGGGCTCTGTACCAAAAACAAAAAATATCACAAAGGGCTATTCCACCTTGACCCATAAACGAGTAATCTCAAAGTTTCTAATGCACTGCTTCCATTGAGCTCGTACGAAGTCAAATAATATTAACAGATGTTGTGTATTTGTTTTGTTGATTAATAGTCAGATACATTGATGTTTTGGCTGGACAATCTGCAGGAATTAATGTTAACCGATGAAAATGAAATAGATAATCTATTAAAAAATTTAAATTACATAGCTGAAGATGGGGCTATATAAGTGAACATATTTTTGATATCGCAGGAGTATATATAGTATGAGTATAAGTAGAGTTATATTTATAAATTTTTTATTTACAAACTCTTACAAATTATACTATCTACTATGGATAGTACATACTCAAGTAATATGTATTGTCCATAGTACATAGTATAATTACTATGTACTATAAATAGTACATACTCAAGTAATATGTATTGTGCATAGTACATAATGTAGTTTATAAAAATTTATAAATAAAAGATTTGTAAATATAACCCAACTCCATATACTATAAGTCTCAAAATATGGGACTTAAATGTTAAAAGAATAAGTAAAATGAAAAAAAAACAATGGTATTATTTTTTCCATTTTTTTATACTATTAGTATAAGGATATCCTCATTCAACCTACTCTAGTCTGGGATGTGCATAAGAATCAAAAAATCGAACTAAACTGCACTTAAAATAACTAGTTTTTGAAAGTCAGTTCATGAACGGAACTGGTTTTTTGAAACCAGTTCAAGAACCGAACCGGACCATTTTATTACTTTATTTTTTTAGTTTACGTTCTTTTTTGAATAGGTTCGACTAGAACCGGTTTCAAACCGAATCGAATCAGTTTTGAATCAAATCGAACTATTTTCAAATTGAATCGAACTAGTTTTCAATCGAATTGAATCATTTTTTAATCGAACTATTTAAACCAATTCACTTGAGTTCTTCAAAAAATTCAGTTCAGTTTGATTCATGAACACTCCTACCTCCGGCCACCTTGCCTTAAAGCTGACTCCTCTGCAGAGGGTATAATAAATAATTGTCACTGGAGAAGGAATATGACTATTCCCCAAACTGAGGTTTAGAGTGCTAGGATACGAGAGATGACCCAACAAACGTCTACCAAGAAATCAAACACATGACCCTATTTTTGGGCACAGTTCACTACCAATTATGCCGGCCCCACGGGTTAAGTACTACGCAAATAGTTAAGGACCTTTTCGTATTGGTTCGGGAATCCCAAGTGCCCCCCGACCCCAACAACCTGGACGTTTTTATGGGATACATACGTTTTCGGAACACATTTTGTTATGTCAGACCAAAAATAATTATCCGTGAGGTTAATAGTAAATTTTTTCAGAATGCCATGTGGGATAATTCGTTACTCTGTGTAGCGAAATATGCTTGCAAATAATTCGCTAAACAGTGTAGCGAATTATGCCACGTCAGAATGCACAGTCAGCAAAAATGACACGTGTCAAGCAGGTAGTAATTCGCTACCCTGGATAGCATATTATGTTCGCGAATGCTTTTTTGATAAGTGGCACACTTTCGCAGAAAAAAACTAACGTGTCATAATTCGCTACTACTGGTAGCGAATTTGGTCTGCAATATGACCACGTGTCACGAAATTATTGGCCACAAAATTCGCTACTAGTGGTAGTAAATTATGACACATGATAGTCTGGTAAAAAATACTGTTCGCGTGACATTTGGATAAAAAATTTGACAAACGTGACTTTTTTGTCATTGTCCCTTGGTTTTCTAATCATATCATAATCTTAAAAATAATAATAATAATAATATTGAAAAAAAATGAATGTAATTTAAAATAATATAATTTTGTGTTATTTCAAGTACAACTATTATAGTGATAGTTTTTTATTTTATTTTCTTTTCATAATATTTTCTTTTCTTTTCTCCATATTTTATAAATAAAAATTACAAAATACAGTAATTTTATTTAAAATTATATCTTGTAAAATGAGAATTACTTTTCCAATAATAATATAGGGAAATAATTTTTTATTTTGTAGGAAAATAATTATTTTATGTTGTAGAAATAAAATTGCAAGTGAAATCCGTAGATAAAAGAAGAAAGAAAAAAAATTTGAGACTCACCCATCTTCTGTGTGTATAAAAAATTTAATTATCTCGTATAAAATAAGATAAATATAAATATATAACCCAATAATATAATCAATTAAGCCAACTGCTGAACATTCCTTGAACTTTTTATATTCGAATCTGACGTTGGAATACTTTTTTACCTTTTATTTTTTCTTTTACTTTTTACGACATATGCTTGAATGAATCTGGCGTTCTTTTGACTCAGGTTCATGCAAGGACAAAGATAGCATCTTCAAAATGCACCTCTTCTGCTAATTTTGTCTTCTACTATTTTCATACAAAGCTCAAACTAAACCCCACTGCAGCAAGAATTGCAAACACGAAATGGGCAAGAATTGCAAACACGAAATGGAAGAAAAAGTATCTTTATTTATTTATCAAAAAAATGTGTATCATTTTAAAATATATAAAATTATGTATTTTAAATGAGAAAAAAAGATAAATTATTGAGGAGAGAGTGAAAAAATAAAATAAAGTCGTAAGTCTCAAGTTTTTGTGAGAGTAAAATAACACAATTTAGTGTCATTTAAAAGGATAAATATTTTTCTGTTTATTTATTTATTTAAAGGACAATGGGAGAGAGAGAGAGAGAGGGGAGGGATGAACAGCTTCCCTTGTTCAAAAGAGACCATTCTTCATACAGACACCCATGTTTGATTCAATGGACATTCAAATAAAAACAAGGGGACGTGTTAATGCTTATTAAGGTGCACAACTGGCGCACCTTTTATATATCTTTATTTTATCTTTGATTTCCCCACTTTAGGATAAGGATCCCGGATCACTAACTTGCATTATGATAGGCCACTTCTACTAGCTTTTTGTAGTGACCATCTCATCCTTTAGACCTTCATTCTTCACTATAGTTACTAGCTACTAAGCTGAAAGCCACTGGTCTATATTCCCACATCATTATCGATCATTTATGCATCCCATTTTTTCTCTCATGAAGGTGGGAAATTCAGATTTTTCATGGGTACTCAGCCAGGTTTGGAGAACAGTATGCAACAGCCTCTGCAACTGTGAGGAAGATCTTGTCCTCCCCAATCGAGTTCGCAAAATTGGATGTGTAAAGCTTGTCTATCACTGCCGGGCCAGGATTTGCCAGAACAAGCTGTGCAAACAAGGAAGGTACTTGTCACGTAATATCAATTTGACTTGTTTTCTAATCAATCATGCATATATATATATATACACACACACAGAGATAAAATTATTTCTGCAGCAGCTTTACGTACAACGACAGGTGTATGGTTATGATTCCCTATATTTAATGATTTTATTTTTGTATGGTTATGATTCCCTGCATTTAATGCTTTCACGTATATATATGGCAAGTGTTTAGCTGCTGCACGTACAGCAGCTGCAGAAATATAAACCCCCGTTGTTGTACGTAAAGCGGCTGCATAAATGATTTTTTTTTTTTGATAACAGCTGCATAAATGATTTTATCATATATATATATGTACACTGGTGTCAAAGGATCCTACCTCTATATATATATAGTGGTAGGGTCCTTTGACACCAGTGTCAAATTTAAAATTTGACACCTCATCTTAAAGTCGTTAGATCAAAAAAGATCAATAACTTTGATTTGTAAGCGATTTGTAAGCATGTGGCACTCATATATATATATATATATATATATATATATATATATATATATATAGGGTCAGGATCATTTTACATTAGTATAAGTTACAATCTTAATCTTGTTCGTTGATTCCACTTATATCCAAAGGTTCTAATTTTTTAGTAATGTGAGTTATTGGATACAAGTGGATCAATGATCAAGATTGAGTGTAAGACTTCTAACTCTTACACCAGTGTAAGAATATCTTACCCCATATATATATATATATATATATATATATATATATATATATATATATATATATATATATATATATATATATATATATATATATATATATATATATATATATATATATATACACTAGCAGACATAATTTGGTTACCTCAACACTTCTCTTCGTAAGACTTCTGTGTAACTCTTCAAAGGCTTGGATGCCGCTAGTGTCGATGTCAGTAACAGCTGCAATAAAAACATAATAATTAATACATACAAAAATTTAACAACTATCCGAAAATGATGTTTTTACTCGGTGGAAAATGAGGCTAAAAATACAGACACTCACGTGACATTTCAACTATCAAAAACTGGATTTTTGTGTGGTAGTCTCCTTTCACTTTTTCGTCTTCATCTATCAGCCATCTTAATATTCTGCAAGAGAATAGATCTTAAGCATCAGGAATACGTTCTAAATTGACCATTTTCTAAATTCCACAAATTTAAGACACAAACCCTCCGAATATAGCAAAGTGGCCAACTCAATCAGATTATTCTTTTCTTTTTTTTTGGAAATACAATCAGATTATTCTAACCATCCAACAGATTATTTTGTCATTGACCATGTCTTTTCCTATATAGACCTTAAACCAATCCTCACTCTTACCCTCCATATTTAAGACCTACTGTAATTATTAGATTATTCTAATACTAGTTCCATGCACATTTCGGATATTATACAGCTGCTAAGTAGTTCTCATAAGATATTTCATATAAATTGGTTATTGGTTTCATGAGTAACAATCGTTTGTATTTTTGCATCCACATCTAAATTTTGTATTTTGATATGTATCATAACTAGTGATCCATGACATGTTCTGAATCACATATCTGTCCTCCTTAGGCTTTTAGATTATTGCCAAAAAAGCATTTTCAATTAAATCACTATACAGATTTGATTGGTTCACTTCAGCTCATTCAAAAGATTCCCTCAAAAAATAAAATAAAAATCAGACTATCATCTGTCAACATGTAGACAAAGGAGGAATTCATATTTACCTTTCTTTAACATAATTGGAGTTGGAAAAATATATTGCCGAATCGACTCTTACAATCAGTACACCTGGAACCTTACTAGCTTCTGGGTATTGTTGGATGTTTCTATAGACGGAAGTTCTTGGAATCTTCCCAAGAATAGCAGTTCGGGGCCTTGTGACTTGTAGTAGGATCTTCGCAAAGGATATAGAGACCTGCCACAACATGTAGCAATAACCAAGAGAACAATAACAGTCAGAAATTACTTTTGACATTTTAGAGCATAAGATAACAAAGCCTTAATACTTAACAGCAATTAGAAGTCCTATCTCAACCGTGGCAAAAACAACCCCAAAGAATGCTCCCATGCAAGCAACAAAATCAAGTTTATCAATCTTCCAAATCAAAATCGCTGCCTGATAGTCCACAAGGTTGATGACAGCAGAAATGATGATGGCAGCAAGAATGGCATTTGGAGTGTACTTAAATAGAGGAGTTATGAATTGCAGGGTTAAGAACACAACTATTGACATCACAATATTAGAAACTGCAGTTTGGCAACCAGCCATAAAATTTACCGCTGACCGAGAGAAAGAACCTGAAGGTAAAAAAGAATATAGATCAGAGGATTAAGAAAATTAGTCTAACCCACTTACATGAGCTCATATGAATTAATTACTAAGCAATTTACCGTAAGATAATTATAACTCCAATTTTTCTTCCTGTTCCTATAAGCCTTTAACTTAATAGTAATTGACATGACCATTTATTATATCTTTCTTGAACTTGCAATTGATGACAAAAAAGTAGTTAATTAGACTCATAAATCCTGTCTTTGAGCTTACCGGTTGCCACATAACAGGAAGTCATCGAACCAACAACATTCATTGCTCCTAATGCCATCATTTCTTTGTTTCCATCCAGTTGATAGTCCTTCATAGATGCAAATGTTCTTCCAATTGCTATGGCTTCCTGACAACAAAAATGTAATGGTTTAATTAGAACTACTATAGTTGTAATGAAATGGCGAAATACTCTTTAAGAGAGGTATTAGTGTCAAGATTTACTCACAGTCAATGCTATCATCCCTGCCACGATGCCAATCCTAAAACCTTTACCAAGGTATTCACCGCTAAAATAAATTTCTTTAACTGATGAAGGATTGATCCCTTTCTCTATGTGTCTTACCTTGACATACATATCAATATAGACAAAATCTTTAGTTCTTCTGCAATTAATATGCCACTCTCTTAATCATAAAATACGGCTATAGTCTGCAATATTCAGGATATTGAGAATGGAAATCTATATACTTACAATTTCTACTCCTTGCTTATCTGCTCGGGTTATGAATACAAAAAAAGTGGACAACACAACGGATATTAATGGGGCGATTGCTGGCACCCAGAAGAATTTCTTGTTCTTCTTTCCCTGATCCACATAACATGAAATAATGAAAAAAATTCAATTTACAATCGTAACGATAGATTAAGGAATAATAGTGAAATGAACTAGGGGGTCTAATGTCTTACGATATATTTGGCAACCAGAAGAAAACCCAAAAAACTAGCTCCGATGAGTATAGTTTGCCAGTTCCACTGCAAGATGTTAGATATTAAATTATTAATCAATTTTGTGCTTACATAAATACACACTAGTTGGCAATTTTAATTTTATAAGGCGTACGTAGACTTCTTCAGATTAGAAAACAAGGTAATTAATAAATTGCGTGTGTATATTGAGAGAGAGAGAGAGCATACTCCATGATGTGCTGATGAGAATACTGACTTCAACACAGAGACAATATCAGTTTTCGTTGTGAACATTTTACTTTTAATGCCAAGAAAACCCTTAAGCTGTTGAAGGGCAATTGTGATGGCAGCACCCCCCATAAAACCGACAATAGCAGCATGGGATAAGAAGTCAATCAAGAATCCTAACCTAATTTAAAACAAAAAAAAAAAACCCAATTATTAGATCATCATGTGTGTGTTAAACAGTGTAACTGTAACCTTCGTTGTAGCTGGTAGCAATTGTAAAACAGAACACAAACTTTAGTGGTGGGAAGATTTAAATGCAAAAGCACTTGTAGAGCATTGGGTGGGCGTGCCATACCTAAAAACCCCAAGCGTTGCTTGGGTAATCCCAGCAAAAAAAGTGGCTGTAAAAGCAAGACGTCGATATTCTGCTGCATGTGTAACAGGATCAATCTCATTACTAAGTAAGGTCCCTAACAAGAGAGAAACCACTGCCACTGGTCCTATTGCAATATCACGAGAACTACCCATGACAGCATAAATCAGTGGTGGAACAAAGCTGGAGTCTGTAAAGGGGTAGAACAAAAGGCAAAAAGATCTCAGTCCAACATTCAAACAATTAAACACATGAGCTACTTTAGCTTTTGATGAGACACAATAGTCTTACATAGTCCATACTGTGGAGCCAAATGAGCCAGCTTGGCGTATGCAATATCCTGTTTTATCAAGCCAAGCATTAGAACCTCAAAAATGGTGCAAGTAATATGAATTGTAATTATGTATTTTTCTCCAGTTCTTTAAAAGCTCAAAATCAACATGGTGAACCTGAGGAATGCAAAGACTTGCAATAGTGAGACCAGATATAATATCTCCTCTAAATTTTTTAAGGTTGTAAGCTCTCCCCCAATTAAGTATGGGGAATATAGCCTCAATACCGAGGATGAGCTTCCGAGACTTTGTTTGATCTTTGAAGGATCGTAGAGGATCATCAGCAAAGAATGTTTCTTTTATAGTGGATTGGAATTCCTTGAAGAGGTTCTGTCTTGGAGGAATTGCCACTTTGTGGACGTATGGTGCATTACCATGTGAAGATGACAAACTTCTCTCATCTATCCCTTTTGTTTCAAGATTTTCATCAGCAGCAGGACCCATTGAAGACATCAACAATGACCTTCACCTGTAATAGAGGGAAAAGTCATAACCACATATATTGAAAAAAATTAAAGGATGACTCCTACAAGTGATCAGTGATGGCAATAAAGTCTAACTGAAACATTAAATCAGAAGAATACGGTTTATATTGCATGCAAAGTCTACCATGTTGCTTACAGCTCTAGTATGTAGTTCAAGAATGAATATAATCAGATGCATAATCACCTCTTATGGAATTTGAGATGAAAATTGACAATAAAATAGATCCTACTAACTATGAGAATGATTCTAAGATGTGTAGCCAACCTTAGTAGAAGGGAAGGGGATGACACAAGATTTGAATGGTCACTGGTTCAAGCTGCAAGGCCTGCTTGAGCAGGAAAGCCGCTGTGAAGCTATTGGATTATATAACTTCAAGGACTTTAATTAGCTTTAGGTCAATGTTCTCAAGCTGCAACTGAAAAATCAACAATATTAATGTGTGAACCGGATCTCATACATGTCAAAATGATGCATTACAATGCATAATATTCAATCCCGACCAAACAACCCGTGGAATTTACCTAAAGACTGATGGTCATATAGCAATTTTGATAACTGCAATAAAATAGGAAGAATGGAGGAGAATAAATATATAGAGTACGAGAAGTATTGTCTAGGGAGCAAAGGCTAGTAGCAGCTAGGAATTATTAAAGCCAAAAAGTCAATAAAGTTTAAAATAAAAAAACATATAGAGAGACAAAGAAGTTAAAACTAGGTGTAACTAGTTCTTGAGTGAGGAACTAGAAGCCTGTGTGTAACTTTCTTTTGTCAAATCTCGAGACTAATTTGATCAAATGAAAGATTTCGAGGATTTTAGGAGGACTACCATCATACCTAATGTAAACAAAAGAATATCTGACAATTCAGTTGATATTATGAGGGATTGAAATTTTCAAACCAATAAACAATGGTCTCTGCTGTTTCTCTCCACAAGCATGAGTGAATCTCACGCAAAAGTTCCACTCACTTAGAAAAGCATAGATACAAAAAACTCAAACATCACCCTTTCTATTATAGAACAGTAGTAAAGTTAACTCCTATCCTAGTATAAAACATGTCATTCTCAGAAAAGATTAGAAAGGAATCAAATTCTTAAACCCCCAATAAAATTCAAAGAACCTAAATGCCATTTAAAATAAAAATAATCACAACCGTGTTTGACTGTCAAACAGAATCACAACAATTTACTTTCTTGCTTAATAACGCGAAGATCAACAATCCATAATTAGCCCATCATGCTATGTAAGAACACTAATATAGTACAGCATAAGTTCTCATTAACGAAGTGTTACCAACATTTACTTTCACTTTATCCCAACTAGTTACGGATGCACAATAAAACAGAGAAAAGCATAATGCATAATATTCATACAGAACTAGACAGAACCAAAATATGGACTTGTACTAACCCTCTCTATGAGTTATGAATCATTAGGTGTCCATTCCAAAATTGTAAGTCTGGAGAATAAAGTTTAAAATAGACTCTTCAACTCACTATCCCTCCTAGTCTTCTCACGCAAGCCATTGATAGTGGAGGATTCCAATTACACCAACACCAAAAGTATTCTCTTTTTTAATTTTTTTTTTTTTTTTTTTTTTCAGAAATGCACTTTAAAACATAAACGGAGAATGATATACATACAACACACGAACAAAAAGAACTTTTGTAGTATAAACATGAAGAGAGAGAGTACCCTGAAATTAAACGGTTACAGCTTGGCTTTCCACTTCCCACAATCGATGGTTCTCGTGCGTCATTGTGAAAAGACTCATCTTTTATTCTGAATGTGAAACCCATAAATATATAGAGCAGACAAAGTGACAAACACAGAAGGGCTTGGGAATGGGGCATGTTAAATTAACGAAAACAAATAACCGCAATCATCGTCCACGTTCAATGAATCCTTAACCAATAATATGTCACCGATTGCATAGCAATACTGGTTAATTTCGTTTCTGGGTATCATCCCTTGAATCAGGAATGGTGGACAAGCCCTGTTTGGTTGCCGAGAAAATATGTATGGAAACGTCCTACGACAAGAGCCAACGTTGAAGAAGATTCCTAAATGTCCCCACGATGCCATTACGAGGAGACTGCACTCTGTTTGCCATTATTATTATTATTATTATTATTACAATTTTAAAAACAAGAAGGTCGATATTCACGGGCAGTTACGTACGTGCACACACCAGTGTTGTAACGTTGTGACGCAGGCAATGGCAATGGAAATGGTGAAATGAAAAGTCAGAAACATAGACCATGCTATTCCTTTGTTGAAGTTGTTGGGTCAATGCTGCTGTTTGCTGTGTAATCATTTTTCTTGTTGGCTTCGCGGTCGACCCCACACGTGTAAGAGAATTCAATACCATACCATAGGCATAGGGTTTGAACTTTGAACATGGTCGCCATCGTGACCCCATTCATCTTCAGCATGTTGGGAAGCCAAATTTCTGTCCAAAGCAGCTTTTTCAATTCAATAAATGAACCAACGTTCTTTTGAATTAACTATTGATGGTTAGCAGCCTTGCTGGAATACTAGCATAGAGTAGAAACCAGAAAATCATACATATGAATTTTTCATGACATTTGGCTTTTATCTGGTCAACAATCAAGATTTAAAGTGTAGTTTATTTTGGTGTAAAATTATGTGACTCATAATAATATATTGACAAACTTGTTATGATAAATTATCAATGAATAAAAAGGTCAATTTACAATATTTATTTGTATTTTTTAACTATCCATAGATAAAAATTGTAATTTGAGGGAACACTTGTCTTCGTCTTTTGAAGATATAAATATCATATTAGTCGTCCGTTTACCAACGACATCCACATTTGTGAAATTCTTTTGATAATTAAATTGGTCATTCTTTTATAACTAACATTATTTATTTTATCTACTGAAAAATAATTTGATGAAATTATAAATATTAATTTCACATTTATTTGCTTTAAAGAGTTGAGTTGACATGTTTATAAATGAAAGACTAGTATTATATCGCTTATATCTTTAAAATATTAAATTATACATTCACTTTTATAATTTCAAAATGTGTTCAAATAAAAGGCTCAGTTCTAATTCTAAGGTTGAATTATAACGGAATCAATTTTTAAAGGGACAATTTAGTCTTATTTTGATTTATATTTTTTTAACTATTATCTGAATTATTTATGCATATTTTTTAAAATTTTACTTCTAAGCATTTTTTATTTATATTTTTAAATTTTATCTAAATTTAAAAATATCCATATGATCATATACGGAAGAGTTACTAGTTTATATTGTTACACAATTCGTTTGGGCCTTTTATTTAATTTGAGGGTCTAGGATATTATGCAATTTAGTCATAATTTAATAATATATTTATATGAAAATTATAAAAGCTATAAATTTGTCGTATTATTGGACGATAAGAAGGAAGAAATAGATTTATCTGTTTTTTCTTTTTGTATTATCCATTCTTTTATTCAACTATTGCAATTTCTAAATTATCTACATCGACTGGTTTTACAGAAACAGAAGACTACACTGATTAAAGTGTAATTTAGACTCAACATATAATTTTATTCATCAATTATATGTTAATAAAGTGGATTTGGTTATTAAATATAAATGAGTGACTAAGTCGTTCAATAATTTGAAAAGATAATCCCATTGATCTTTCGATAAACATATTTTATGTATATATTATAAGATGTTAAAGATCAATTAATAAGTTGAACTTTTTAAATAATTGATTGACTAAAATTCTGATCCACGTATATTTTATTTGAAATATACGTATAACTTTGTTATTTGCATACCCAAAACACTCTACCTTATTTTTATACTTTTCAATTAAGTCAAAATGCTCTTCACCAAGAAATTGTTTATATTTTGATCACTTATACCATTCTTATACTATCCAATTAACTAATAATGAAACACTTCCGTAATAACTTATGGATGTTTAACCACTATTGTTATTAATTACTTGTTGGACTTGGAGACTTCATGGTCAATTATGTATGCATATTTTTGTTAAATTATATTATTTGGCTTAGAATGGTAGTTATTTTCCCCAAAAACTATAACTTGCTGACAAATAATTAGTCCGTTAATTAATACATACACCTCATCAACCAATAATCGAATTATTACTAACCAAATTTATGATTAAGCATAAAAGTATTACTGTGCACACGAAACCAGTATTTAAAAACCCTGCCCGGCCATCGACTCGGCCGAGATCAGGGGTCACGGGTTCTACCGGGGGGTCACAGGGTCACTACGCTGACCTGATTTTATATATTAAAAAAATATAAATATATATATCATATATGAAAATATTAAAAAACAAATCATCAATCATCAAAAAATTAAAATATACTTAACATAATTCACCAATTACAACCACAAGTCAATATTACACAACTTAATTAAAGTATCAAGATACCAAAGTACAAAACTCATATTCTAATGATACCAAAGTATCAAGATACCACAAGTCTAGGTCGCTGGGTGAGAAGAGAACGATTAGATTTAGGTTTGCAAGAATTTTAACTTTAATTTTTTTAATAAAACGACGTTGGTTCATTGAATTTTTTTTTTTTATAAAAAAATTATGCAGTGACCCCCTTTGTCCCGGGAGTCACTGAAACTCGACCGAGTTTTGGGGATTAGAGAGTTCGATGTGCATATAGGGTCTAACTTGTGACCTCAACTCTCATAGGGAAGGAGTCAGAGTTGACCCGAGTCAACTCGGGAGTGAAATGGAGTTTTAGAACACTGTTGTTCGATGTAATGTATGATGCATTAGAAATTTCAAGGCCGGCCTATACTCGTGACTCAATAATTGGCATGTTATTTTATTAGAAAATAAATCAGCAATTGAAAATGTTAAAAAATATATGTACAAACTCAAGATCTTTGGTTAAGGGGAACATGCTTCTTATACCACTTGAACCAATGATTGTTGGTCCTGTTGTACATTTTTAACTTAAATAAATATTAATCTTAGTTTATCTGTTAATAAGGTTAATGATATTAATTTATTTTCACTAATTTAATATTTATATTAAATATATTTTTAAATTTATATACGAGGTAATAAATTAACTTTGAAATTAAGAATAATTATTGCATTAATTTTAATTTAAATTTTTTATAAGTAGAAGGTGAGTATAATATAAATTTTAATATGTTTCGAGTAAATCGAGTTCAAGTTTTAATTTATATAAATATAGTACATGATTAAGTTGAGGAAAAATCTGTCTCTGCCGCCTCGTTAGCCTAACTTATCCAAGATAATCTTCCCATATCATGGAAAAATATTATAACAAATTGGTACTTCTTAATTAATTGGGATCAGCCAACAAAGGTGGGCACAGTTGTCTAAGGGTTTGATCCATATCCTTCAAAGGCGTGGGTTCAAACTCCGCTGGCCGATGTGAGAACTTTGTTGGTGGGTGATATGTCTCAGAAATTCTCAAAGAGGTTGGGGTCTTCTCTGACCCTAGTGGGATACTGGTGTCTAACGCCACTTAAACTTTTTATTTACAATAAAAAAAATTAATTGGGATCAAAGATTATATTATTGGATATGATTTTTTTATTGATTAACGTCGGGGGACTAATCAAGGTGACATGATCTGCGAATAAATTAAGGGGAATTATTTAATAGAATAATTAAGTGTTACTGATAAAGTGGCCGGTGGCTAAGATTATTGTGAAGAAATAAAATGTAAATCGATAGTTACTATATATTGATG